CAGGCGATCGGTCGATCAGTTTCACGATTCGAGATAACTAGAATGGCTCACCTGCCAACCCTTTTGCATTGACTAGAGAATATATTGGAAGAGACAGACATCCGATAATGGAGGTGCCCTTAAGTAGTTGTGACTGTTCAATACGAGTTGCATACCCGTAGCAAATGAACCACTACTCGATTCAAGCAAGGCAAATAACCGCTGTGAGTTGGATGCAGACGTGTTGGCATGTAGCAATAAAACTCACAAGAATGTATATCGTTGACACTAGCAAAATGTACCGTTCACATAGCCCTTTTAACTCAAGGTGTTCTGCACAACTGGCAAGAGTTTCCTTTCCTTCATTTGGCTCTCTCTGCACTTTCGATACTTGAGCACATAAACGCATGCACTTTGGCGCCGACAGTTGATTCTCAGAGAGAACGCAGTTCTGAAGGTCACCTTTTGGCAGCGTCGAATTACTTGATTTCGGCGAGGACACTAAGGACGTATGCAGTACTATAAGATGAGCCACAACTCAGGTTGCCACTGCTGGCTTCGCCTTCACACGAGCATCGACCATAAATAATGTCGAGCATTAACCCCTCATAAGCCCGGCATCCCTCTTGCCAGGCACTGTCCCATCAAAATGTGCATTCAGGCGAACGAACTGGCCGCTATTGCACCCCAAAACGTTATCGCATTTGCGATTTGGGTGGGACGAAGCACAATGGCTTCGCATGAAGACCGTATGAATGAAAAATGGACGTTAGCAACAGCATACTACGGTATAAAGTGTTAACGGAAAAGTCCTTACTGGATAAAGAAAATAGCATCACCATAGTTGGAAAAAAAGTAGCTAAGATAGAAAATGCTGTTGGTTTGTGGTACAGTGGAGCAAAAAGCAACCTGGTTGAGTAGCCGTATGCGTGCGAACTGGTAAGTGATCTAACAGATGTCCTCATTTCTTCAAAATCTAGCTCACATCAATTGTGGAGATGCAGGCAACATAGCAAGTAAACAACAATAACTGTGAATACTGTGTACTTAGACGATTAATCGTCCCACAGAGATGCCAGGAAGCGTGTGTGCCCTATATTTTTGACTGAGTCACAAGCCCTGGTACCTCTCCTCTGCCTAAAAACCCTTTCAGACGACTTAGCCCGTCAGGAGTTATGCATACTCAGTAATGAGATGGAAGCCACACAGAAAATGCCCTGCGAAGGCAACTGGTGCTGACGGCCTTCTTCGAAGTTCATGGGCTGGTGGTTTGAAAGCTACAGGCAGACAACGGTTGAATGAAAAGTGCGCTGCGCAAGCGAGTTTTTGTAGGAAAGCTTTAAACCATAAAATGCACACGGTTAGATGAAAAGCAGGTTTTCCTTTTCCTGGATAAAAAGCAGTTAGTCACATCTAGCTTTACAAAAAAAAGAAATCATTGGCATTCTTAGGAGCCCACGGAGGGGGGGGGGTCTGAAAAAAAATATGCGCTCACCTGGAAGATTTCGAAACCAGCAATGTCAAGAATGCCCACAAAGGACGCTCCCTGTCGCTTGGCTCTATCGAGAGACTTGTTGATGCGAGTTACCAGCCAACGAAACAGTCGCTCGTAGATGGCCTTTGAGATGGCCTCAACAGCAAATTCTGCCTGCTCTTTTGTCTGGGCTTTAGAGACGGTTTCACGTCCAATCTTCAAACGGGGCTTCAGGAAGGCCTTAATCAACTCCGAAAGCGGCACCCCCAGTAGATGAGCAACTTTCTCCGCAACTGAAAGAAAATATTTTGAAGAATAGAGTCAGCAATGAGACGGTCTCCAGTGGGTGTCGATTGAATTTATCCAACATAATGGCAGTCGTGGTATACAGGTCTGTTAGAACCCAAGTATATTTTTAAGTATAGGAAAATTTCAAATCACTGGCTTCCTAGTTAGTTGTCCTTTTTTCCTGGAGTGAAGTAGTTAAAGCAAAACCAGTTCAGGTGATTCAGAGTGGTCCCTCTGTGGAAAAACGCACGATAAATAGGCAGTACTTATTTACGTCGATGCTTAGTCAACGCACTCAGCACTCCGGACGCATACACGGCTTGTGAAGTCAGCACGTTTCGAATCAAATTTTGGAAGGACATTGACCTCTATTGTATTTGCTGAAAAGATTATCTTTAGAACTTTCTGGGCAGTAAACGAAATGTGTTTTTAGAGTTTAATTTTTGACGAGCATATGTTTGCTTTCGACAAATACTCCTCAGGCCTGTACACATTTATATCGTCATTAACTAAATAAACTCGGCTGCCAGTCCCCCTGGCGCTGATCAGATTTTATCCTCCACCACCACCCCTGACAAACGCACTAACTTTTCTACCAACTCACATAGTTTACTTATTTAATTACGATATAAATGTACAGGTCTGAAGATAATTTATCTAAAGCTCGGTAATTTATCCTCTGAACTTTTCAATGGGAATTTTGCAAAGTTAAAAACTTGAATCATGCTCAGGTTGGGGGAAATATAGGTGTACACAACGCTTCTTGCGTCCACAGTAGGTGGCGGACGGCTGGATCAACTCCGAGTCAAAGACCTCCAAGTACTTGTTTCCACAGGCTTAATAGCCGAGCAGGCTCTCGCTACCGCGGTGATATACCTTTACGGGGAGATAACGAAAGCTTTGCGCTGATCACATTAAACCTATGATTTTAAATAAGAAAGCAGAAAAGACTCGTTAGCATTAATATGGTTATTGGCGTTGCTAGTAAGCCTGACGCTTATAGTATACGATAGCACCCTTTATGGATGTCTGGTTTAAGTTCGGTTTTTGGATGCACACTCTTCAAAAAACAGGATCTAGACGGAAGTTTTACCTGTTTGGTTTGGAAGGGTAGCCTGATCAGAGTTGCGCTCTTGTTTGAATTCCAAATTTCCAAAATGCAGCACAGCAGAAAGGACTCGGAAGATGGCTGCATAAAACAAAATGGGGATGAGGACATACTAGTTCATTGCTAATTATGTTTAGCATTTGAGTGAATGAACGAATAACACAAAAAAGATTTATTTTGGTTGTTAGGCTACACAACTGGAATCCAGACGACTTGCTCAATTTTCCCGGCAGCTATATCAACGAAAAGTACGCAAAATGTCTAATCAGATGAAATCTTTAAGACGTACACTGCGAACTTTTTTATGCATGTGCACGGATGCCGGCGGCTAGGTCAATGACGCCGTAATAGCTTAATTAATTCAAAAACATTGTAGTTATCTGTCTCGACAGTTAGTTTCAGGTCTCGTCGCACTGACATAGGAGAAAAACGATAACATTAATTGGGTATGATTGCTAAACTATTGGACTAATCTAACAGCGGAACAGACCTCAGTCATCGGCGACACTTAAAACGTCTGCTTGATCAAATTACTGAAGCGCAGAGGCTAAAACTTATGCTTCCGAGTTGAGGACACACCTACATAGATTTCGTTCGTCTTTGTGGAGTTGTCCTGTATCATATCGTCTGATAACTTTTCATTTATTTGTTCACGCTCTTAGTCTGTCTTTCTCTCTTATTATATTTCTGCTTGCGAGTATTTTTGCGGTGTGATCCTGCATATAACGGATGCCTCCTCAAGATGTTTTAGATAATTATATTAAATAAATGGTGAGGTTATAAAAGCAATACACTGCAAACTTTGTGAATTTGTACACTTTCGTTGTCAAGGGGATAATTTTGAAAAAGCACTGAGATATTATGTAAGGGCAAGGAAGTGACCGAGAGGTGCATGGCTAACCTTGCTGTTCATCGTCAGTAATGCCCATGATTGCCATAGCTTCAGTTGTTTCCGCAAAAGCCTGCTTCTCATCCAACGAGGGGACCTCAAGGATTCCATTGGAGAGATAGGCGAATTTGATCGGTTCGGTAACTAACAGTTTTTGTTTAAGTTCTGGAGTGGCGGCGCAGAGCAACTGATAAAAAATGTGGAAAGTTCGTTCGTCTGGAGCCTGTCGAATGACACGAGCCTTTTCCAGTAGATCTGTTTATAGGAAAAATAAATAAACAGTTCGAATACTCTCGTTGAAGAACTTTAATTGTAATATTGAAAAAAAGTGGTAGCAAGAAGCAGACGCATTACTTTCATATCGATCTCAAAAATATTTGCAAAATTAAATACACATGACTATTCTTCAGTCCGGCATTCACTAGAAAGTAGGCGTTTTTTTCTACTTCCGACCAAATCAGGAAAGCCAGCCACGTTATACGTGCTATACTAATGACTCAAATAGAAGCAAAACAATGTGTTGAAGCAAGGTCTTCCTTGTTTATTGTTCCCTCTCACACGGCAAGTAATTATACTCGGCTAGATCCAAGTGCAAAGGAAGATTGTTAAATATTTGCCGGCATGTATCTATGCGTATATCTGAGGCGCAAAACGGGCTGCTTTGACCTGTTGCACTTAAACTGGTAGCAAAGGCTCTTGGTCAGCGTAAAACCGTGGCGGTAAACGGAAGTGTTATACGTTCCGAGCGCTGTGCCGAATAACGTTTCAAGTCGATCTTGTCCGGGTTTAAAGAGTTGCATAGCCTTGAACTGCGAGGTCAATCTATAACGAACGCGGCGCATACATTCAACATAAATAAATGAATAAGTTGTATATTTAAGGCCCAAGGGGTCCTTTCACTTGAATGAGAACAATGT